AAATTCAAAACACAAAAGAAATAGAATCATATAACATTTAACTTAAAAAAAAAAAAAAAAAAAAAAAAAAAAAAAAAATTTAACTCAAATTAAAATTTTTTTTAAATTATAATATAACTTAAAATCTTAATTTTATAATTAACAAAAAGAAAATTTTTTATATGTAAAAAAAATTTATAGCATTATAAAAAATAATTAAATTATTATTTATAAATAAAACTAATTATTATTTTATTATTATTATACATATAAATAAAAATTTTATTTAATATTTATAAATAGGTTTAAAGTTTTTGTTTTAAAATAAATTTATTATTTTAAATATAAACAAATAATAATTGTTTTATAATTTTTTTAAAAATTATTTATTTTGTATTTATAATTTTAAAGATATAAAATTTTTTTATAAATTTTTTTTTTTTTAGAATATTTAATAAAATTTTAAATATTTGAACTTTTTAATATTTGAACTTAATAAAAAATTAAATAATAAATAATAATAAAATAATAAAAATCAGATAATTTATTTAATTACAAAATATAATAAAATATTTATTTTGATAAACTAGAAATTAATTTAAAAAAAAAAAAAATTTTTTTAAAAAAAACCATCAATTTATATAAAAATAATATTTTAAAATATAGATTGATAATATTTTTTTAAATTAAAATATAAAATTTATTTATGTTATTTTTTTTACATTACAAGTTATAAAAATTTGAAAAATTTCAAATAATTAGTACCATGTAATAATAATTTAATAAACTTACTTTTTTATAATAAATTAATTAATAATTAATTAAATTATATAGGTAACATAAAAATGGTTTTAATATTAAGAATTTAAAGATTATATATAAATCCATAAACTTCTTAATAAATGTTATTGTTATTTAAGAAAATATAAATATACAAAAATTTTTTGCATTCTTGTTAATTAATAATTATTAACAATTATTCTAAAGTACTGATATTGATTATTTTTTTTTAAACAATTTATATCCATATATTATTTATTTTATTAGAATTATAAGATTGAACAAATACTACATTATAATTAAAACTAATGAAAATTGGTCATTTAATTAATTGTTATCGTGTGGCAATAGTACATGGAAGTTTAAATTAATATAATTAAATTAACAAATATATTAGATTGTTTATGATATATAAATAAAAATAAATATAATAAAATCATTTTATTTTGATTTAAAACTGATTTTGGTAACGTTTTGATTTTAATTATCTTTGTCAATGTAATATTTTATTTTTTTATTAATGAACAATAATGACATTATTATTATTAACCCCTTTTTATGAAATTGTGACACGATAAGTAATATATGACTTCTCATTAATAATACTAAGTCTCGAGTGCAAAAGTTCAGTAAAGCCGCAATTGTCAGAAACAACAAAACCACGTACCGTGACTAACTTTTGAGGTAGATTCATAATTAATGATGAGGATCAATGTAAAATAAAATGCTCTTGTCAATCAGAAAGATCAAAGTATAACATATTATATTATTGAATAGTAGATTTTCCTGTTTGTTAAAGTAGAATTCATCCCAGATAAGAAGCTATTGAAGATCACAAAGTCTTAGATTTCATTGAAAAAATTGTCTGCACGAACCGAATGGCTTATGTTACCCATGCGTCAGGTACAATAAATTAAGAAACAATGGTTATGAAAAAGTCAAGTCACTTTGATCGAGAAGAAATATCTTTAACAGCCTTCTGGAGTAACATACCTTGTTGCTTCTCGACTATAATATAACATCAATCTATCACAATGGCATCATTGTCACTTTCGCTATCAACAACTATTGGACTATTGCAGCTTCCAACATGATCTGATCTAAATTGGATGTCCTGGCTTTCCGTTTTAATTTCATATTCGTCACCTTTAGATTCCTGAAGAGGATGAGGTTGATTTGCACCCATTTTTACATCTTTCTGTCTAGAATCTGATGCAATATGTCGTTGCTCATTGTCAGCACTTCTTTCATTATTAGGTAACGAAGACGGAAAGTTTTTAGGCTGATTAATTAACGTAGAATTATCATCAGTATCTGACATGGACATATCTGATGAATGGTCCGACAAAGTTGCGTCACTTTGTTTTCGAGGAGGCAGCTCTATGGAAAATTGATTTTCTTCGACAGTCTTGGAGTACCGAATCTCTTGTTCTGGCAAAGCTGCTGAGTGATCACCCTTCCGAGTTTCGAATTGGTCTTTCTGTTTAATATCAATTATATTTCTAACCAGATCATTGCTTGGGTAGACCTTACCACAAGAGTGATCGATCTTTTTTTCCCTTTCAGCTATGCCATCTTTCAGGGTAGATCTTTCACCATTAAAATATTGTGCTGCCGTTCCTTTATGTGAATGGTTCGTTTGAACGGACACATCGAATTTATTAAGCTTTTGAAATAGATCGGCATCTATTGTTTGACGTATAGTTGATTCGTCTAGTCCATAGACTTCTTTCGCAATTGAGATGACGATTTTAAATAAGGTGATGTGTTTTTTTCCCTCAATAATTTTGTCGTAAATCTGTTGCAGATTTGATGTCGAAATTTTCTTTACATCGGAAGAAACAAGACCCTTGAAAATCTCATCAAGGTTAATATGCATAACTTGCTGATTTGTTACATTACATTTTACAGTTGAACTGTATTTTATCATGTTAATGACTTAATCAGCAATGGAACCTCGGAAGTTATTGAAGATCATTATTTTGATATTTATACATTTCAGTATGAGGTCAGCAATTAGACACGTGATAACAGTAGTTGTATAGATAATCTATACTACGTACAGTATACGCATAGTACATACTGTATATGACAATTTTGATTCATGAAGATGACAATACGGTAAATATTAATAATATAACAAGACCTTTCAGCGTTTGTTTGCTATCGTTCGAAAAAAACGACACCCGGGTTGCACGACGGGGACGTCAACGCTAGATCGCAACCCTCTCGATTATTCAATGAGATCCTGTCATCCCTAGTAGACCAACCGATTCCTATAGGAATCATAAAGAATAAAAAGTGTTTGGAAAGAAGGTGAAAAAAAAAAATAATAATCCATAGAAATAAAATAAAGTATGCAAAATATAAAATGGAAAGAGTAGAAAAAAATAACAGTAGACAGAAATGAAAATTGAAATGTAAGATATCGAGAATTACACGCTGGTCTCAATGAATCACAAGATTCTCGCTTGTAAGACAGAAAGGTTATGAGAATCTATGTGTATAGCGAGATTTCGGAGAATTGAAATTTTCATTTCCAATTTCTCTCCGAATACGATTCAGCGAATCTATGATTTCTTTTGCACTAGGACGCTTGGATTCATCTCCTGACCAACACTTGTCCATTAACTCATAATAGCTTTTTTGAATTCGCTCGTTGCATTCAGGTCTTTTACCATCGATTATTTTCATTACCAGATATAAATCATTTTCATATCTATTAAATGGAGGGTATTCGTGGTAGATTTCATACATGAGCATTCCAAAACTATAAATATCTGCCGATGGAGTGTAAGGCTTTTGTTCCAGGACCTCGGGGGCAATATACGGGATGACGCCATGCACACTTCTCTGGTCTTTTGAATCCATGGCTTCAAGATGTTCATAACATTTGCTGAAACCCATGTCACCAATCAGAACCCAACCTTCGCGGTTAATTAATATATTCCCACTGTGAAGGTCTCCATGGGTTAGTTTTTCCCTATGGATGGTTTCAAGTCCATTTGCTATGCTGTCGAGTAAATTCAATTTGTTGATCCAAGTCATCCTACGACCATTCATGCGGCCATTCTTTTGCAGATACTCTTGGAGATTACCATTTTCGGCCCATTCCATGACCATGTATAGTTCATTATTTTTCGGGTTTTTGGTTATACCGAAGCTTCGAAGTACGTGGGAAACCTTCTTGGTGCAAATGTAGTATTTCTCCAACTGTCATTTGTAATTTGATCATTAAAATGGATTCCTAAAGTAGATCATGCGTTATGTAATATAGGAATGTTAATAGTTACCTCGGACAAAAATTTATTAGAAATGTCTTCAGAGATTTTCAAGCTTTTCAATGCCACCTTTTCTTCTCCGTATCTTTGCCAGTCTCCCGAATTGCCATCCCATCTCTGAATTCTTCCATCACACCAAATTCCAGAATAAACAGCGCCAAATCCTCCTTTTTTAACGAAAAGAATGTTCCTCAACCTGTTATAGGGGATCCACTCCAGTAATTCACACACGCTATTCGCTTCTTGTTGTGCTTTGCGAAGAAAATGATCAATATTTTCATATCCACTTGACCAATTTATAAAATTTCTTTCAAAAATTGCTTTATAACAGCTGCACCATTTCCTTCCGGTTTCAATGCGCTCACAATTTTCACACATTCTTCTAGGCGGTTCTGAGGAGCCTGTTTGTTTCTTCTTCACACAAATACGACCTTCAGATCGATTTTCCCGTATGGAGACTGCGTGAACTGGGTAAAAGATAATTGTATCTGAACGATGGTACTGATACTTATTTTCTTTTCCTTCGGTAGAAAAAAAATCAATGGATGATAAATCTATCTTTTCTGAAACATTCTCAGCATTGGTGATATAGATGTCGGGTTTGTTCATTCGTGAACGAATTGGTTGTCTTTGCTGTCGCGAGCGTCTCCCGAATCTATTGAAATTTCCTCTCCCGCCTGAGACCGAATGAAGGTCGATTGTGCGCCCACGACGAGATTGAACGTGACGATTATTGCGGAAATTTCCACGGCCCCGACCTTGAAAACGATTGTTATATTCACGTGATGGACTAGCATATGGATTAAAGTGTTGTCGAGTAAAAGGCTGTCGAACAAAAGATTGCCGAAGGTATTGCGGTTGTTGAGTGTAATGTCGTTGCTGAATGTAATGTGGTTGGTTGTTTTGAGAATAGTAGTGTTGCGTGGGTGTTACATTAAACGTTTGGTGAAAATTTTGAAAATTGGGGTGCGCAGGAGGCACATGAAGAAAGTTATAGTTGGCCATTTGTGTTGGAGGTAAAGCTTGCTGAATATAGGGATAGTTATGTGGCGAATATTGCAATGGTGGTTCTTGAAAAAATTCACTGTATGGTGGTGGAGCTTGGTTTGTATGCATGGGGATCGGGTTTGTTTCCCCATAAGAATAATTTGAGCGTCCATAGGAGCCTTGGTAAACGTCATTTCGATTGTAAGAGCCATTCGATGTCATTTATCAATCTTTGGCGAGAACTTTCACTATACGGTATTGTATTCGCTTATTTAAATACAATGAATGGTCGTACAAAGTTGTAAATCTTTGATATTTTGAAGAAAACCATGGGATGATGAAAACTTCCAGTAAAATAATTTTAGACTTGGAAATCAATGAATGAGTTCACTTCGTTCTCTTTGAACACTTCCATTTTTGGCTCCATCAAAGATTTAGTCTTTTATATTGCATTCATTTAACAAAGGAAAATTACGGTTATCCACACTATGCATTCTTCGCGAAATGTAGCACCAACAAAAAACATTACGTAATGGGAATTTATAATGTCCAAATTTGATTATAAAAATGCATCGCTCAAGATCTTTTCAGATTCCATGCGATGCCGCTTGGATATTCCAACCGCTGGTGCAGCACTCGGTAATCTTCCAACATACCTTAACTGCGAATCAATGGATGTAGGTTTAAATAAAAAGGATTAAATGAATTCGGATAATTGTTTTTGTTATATGTACCTTCTGCTTGTTAGGTAGCAACTGGTTTAATCTAGACTCCATAAATGTATAGGCCCCATTATTTTGAGGCTCTTCTTGGCACCAAATAAATTCTATATCAGTTAAACAAGATTTATGTCAGAATTTTTTTTTTTTTTTTTTCAAAACAAACATTTCAACTTACCTTCAACATTATCATATTTTATCAACTCAGATTCTATATCCTGTTTTGGAAATGGACACAGCTCCTGAAACGGAAATAATGACTTTCAGATACTGCAAATAAATAGCCTCTTTTTTTTTTCCAGAATGGTATGTTATTTTCATATCACCTTACCTCAATTCTGATAATGGCAAACTTCTCTTCTACACCTCTTTTTACCCTTTCTTTCACGAGATCATAATACACCTTTCCTGATACAAATATGATCTTTCCAACTCTAATTATATTGGAGAAATGTCGGTCACAGTTAATGAATGATCATCGAAATCTTCCGATATGCACGCATACGCAATAAAGATACTTTGAATGATTTGTGACAGAAGAATCACCAAGTATGGGTAAGAACGTTGTGCCCGGTGTCATCTCTCCGAAATTTGATACTGCGGCCTAGGTTATTTTTAAACGTCAATGATGTTACCATCTCGGAAGATTGCAACCGAAGATGGGGTTTCAAGATGGAGTTTCAAGTAAGCATAAATTAACTTACAGGAGACCTCAACAATATCTTTGGAGATGCGATTATTAAAGGCTTCCTGAAATTTCTTTTCATCTATGATAGTAGGTAACACAAAAAATTAAAATATAGATATAGATTAAATAAGTGTTTGATTATAAATAGAATACCTGTCGTCTCAAAACGTGAAAATACTGCGCTGGTGTAGTAGGATTTACTATGTGCATATTAGGATTGATGGGGATTTCCCCATCCAGTACGTTAAATCGGTCGTTTGCGAGCTATATAAAAAAATATTTTAAAAACTGGGATCGTGAAATTGACAGCGGTCGAGTCATAAATAGCAATTAATTAAAATGGTTACCTGCAAGAACCTTTCAATTCTACAACTAGAATGCTCTGGTCCTGCACCATCATATCCGTGTGGCAACAACATCACCAATCCAGATTGCCTTAACCACTTTACTGTCAGAGAGAAAATATAATAGAAAAATATTTCGAGAGTTTGAGGTGAACTCGGAAGGACTATGATCTTAAATTAATGATCTTTCGAATTTATACCTTCCCCGCTGGAAACATAAGTATCAATTATCACCTGTGCACCGTTAAAGAAATCACCGAATTGCGCTTCCCATATATTTAAATTATTAGGAGATTCGCATGACATTCCATATTCGAATCCGACCACCGCCAGCTCACTGAGGTTGCTGTTTACAACCTAAATAGGAATTTCGGATGAGAATAGTAATGGAATTTCCCAAGATCAATGAAAACGGGAGTCATAATATTATACCTCAAGCATCCCTTGACCCTTTGATAATTCATTCAACGGAATCACTGTCCGCTCTGACTCTTGACACACTAACATCGCGTGACGCTGACTAAACGTGCCACGTCCTACATCCTGGCCACATAAGCGGACGTTATAGCCTTCTAGAAGCAAAGATCCAAGAGCCAACGCCTTTATAAGAATATCGAATTAGTAAACATAGGTGTGGATGACACAGAGCATTTCTTTATAAATGGAAATATAACGAACTTCTGCAGTGGCCCAGTCAAGTTTCTTCCCTTCTTTAATTTTTTGAAGTCGCGGTTGCACGTGAAATTTTTGAAGTCGTGAGTGTATCACCTTGTGAAATTACCAAGTGAGTCTGCAAGAATTCGGAAAAACTGTGATAGATTAAAGAACACACCATGTCATCGGGAACCTTCACAGAAGTCGTTCCTATCCTTTCCAAGACATCTTCTTGGACACCTTCATGAACCCAATGATTCATTAAACGAAAAAGATATTTCAAAAATTGTAACCTTCAATATTTCTACGTGTAGATAATCTTATGGTGACGGTAATAAAATCACACCTGTGTCTATTTTCGAAACAGCCTCCTTGGGCATCACAAATCCACTCCATTTATTTTGCAAGGTATCCGCCTACAAACAAATCAGCAGTCAAATATTCGAAGCGAACTACGAATAGGGTTATCGCAAAAAAGTTCCAAGTCTTAAAAAAAAAAAACCTCGGGTTTGTAATTATCCGACTGCTTGTAATGTCCGTCGAGTATGTTAAAATATTGTTGACGAAATTCCACAATTTCATCTTCGGTCAATAATTTCTCGGTCTCGATTAGGTATTGAAATTTTGAGGGTAAACTTATTAATCAATCCGTAAGAGAAAATATCGAGTCACATTCAGAAATACACACGATCATTTTCTCTTCATATGACTTCGGTACGCTTTTTCTCGACCGGATGTTTTTATACATCAAAGGTTGCGTGAATGCTGGTTCGTCCAACTCATTGTGACCCCAACGACGATACGATATTAAGTCAACTATAACATCCTATTAATTGACGCGTAACAAAATATTTATGATGCGATACATGCGTAAATGTATGGAATGATGGGAAAGTTGAAGTAGTTTACCTTTCGGAATTTATTTCTATATTCGTACGCGACTTCTACGGCACGAGTTACATCCTTGATGAACGATCCAGGCGATGTTAAAGGTAAGGCACAAAGGAAAATAAGATTTATAACATACAGAATAGTCACCTCCGGAAAATCACCATTGACATGAATAACCGGTGCATTGATTATTTTTCCAATATCAGAGCTATACCAACTACTTCGTGCATTTTGTGCGGGGGTGGTATACCCTAACTGATTGTTGACTACTATGTGCACGGATCCTCCGGATGTAAAATGCGGAAGGTTCGACAGACCGAAACTTTCCATTACGATCCCCTGACCAGTAAATGCCTACACATATTTTTAAAAAGCATGATAGTGAATTTAGTGGACAAGATCAAGTGCTATTAAGAACATACAGCATCACCGTGTAGCTGAGTACACATAACGCGATCTCCAAGCTCACAATCTGTTGCAGATTTTATGAGATCCATTTGTTTCGCCCGAGCCTTCCCCATTGCTACAGGATTTACCGCCTGTAAGACACGATGTGATAAAATCAATAGATAGCTCAAATATAACCTCAACTTTGTTCAAGGACCAACCTCAAGGTGAGAAGGATTATGAAGCATTGTGACATTCAACGGATCTTTCGCGTCAAATTCCAATGCAGTTGAGGACGCTATGGGATGAATCGATTGCAAAAATTTCATCAATATTTCACCGTAACCTATTTCATATAATAATGGAGAAAAACTACCAAGGTGGGACAGAACATCTCCGGTGGCTGGCAATTCCTCAGGAAATTCGGAATTCCCTTTGACTTTATGAAATAATCTCGTTGGCGAGAAATTCAGTAAACCGGTCAACAAATTTAAGCGACCTCGATGAGGCATGCACAATACCACGTCGGTTATTCCGGCTATTTCGAAAGTGATAATTCAATCTTCAATACTTATTCCGCGTCAAAATATGTAAAGACATAAATTATACCTTGGTTAGAAACCTCAAACAACTTGTCCAAAGCAACCATCATTGACTCAGCGCCTTCTAGGCCATAGCGTTTAATCTGTGGAAATTTCTTAGCCATGAAGTGGTCAAAAACCTTGTTCAACGAAATCCATATTAACTTTTTTTGATACTGAGGATGTTGTATCTCGAACAGCGACTTAATATAAATTTTCAATATTACCTCTGATCTAGTTAAAACCTCAAAGATCCTTCGCTTTTCTCTCAACGTCAATGAAATGGTGTCAAACGACTCTATCATACGATAGAACCAGCGTCTTTCACTTGCATTCTTAGATGGTAGTAATGTAGTTAACAATCCATAAGTGATGGAAATGAACGAGAACGCAATCATTAAATAATACCCACCGGAATGTGCATGAATTCATAGGCGACCTTACCGCAATAAACCTTTTTTAGGTGATCTAAAATAACACCAAGCGGTGCTTCTTCTTTTGAACTGAGGAATAAGTTTCCTTATGTATGTGTACAACGAAAAAAAGTGAAAAAGATGAACCAATGAAACAAATAAATTCAATTTAGTCGTCGAGTAGTGTATCTTACCACTCAAATTGTAAAGTTTGTTTGGATCCGTATTATCAATGTATCTTGTGTGATCCAATGCAAGCACTTTTCTGTTGTATAAACAAACATAAATCCCGGGCATGAATAACCATCGGTATACCAATTCTCGAAAATCAAATGTGTAAAACAAAAAAGAATGAAAACAAGAGATGAAAGGCAAACAAAAAACAACAGGAATAATCCGTACACCGAAAAACGAATTCAAAAATATCGAAACATACTCCAATTCCATAATTCCTAAGGGATCAAGATCCGCGGCCCTATGGCCATGGGTTCTATAAGCGGTGATTAATCGAAGTAATCCAGCGTTTTCGATTCTACTTGCCAATTCTTCTTTGGTGTCTATATGCGTTTACGAGCACAGGAAATCAATTATTTATCATTTACGGTTTCCGAAATCAACTGAACTACGCATAATCCTCATTTTGACAGACTTACAATCTGGCATCTTAAATACCCTCGGTACTCGATACCCAAATGCACCATCGTCATGATAAAATCGATTATTATTATTAGCAAACGAGAAATTAGGTTTTATCGTTGTTTTCGTTAACGTGAGCTTATTTCGCAACAACGCATAATTATGATGAAACCTGATTGATCTATTATTGTAACTGTTAATATTATTTGATAATGCTCGAACATTTGGAATTGATCGAGAAGCAGAGGACGAGATCAATTTGATTATGTTCGACATTGTAGCAATCCTGGTGTCAAGTAATGCACGAATTCCTCTGTAATTTTATATGAACCATATTTTCATTATTTAAAGGATAGGCAAAATATAACTGGTGAAAAACAAAAACGCTAATTACAATACTGTACCCCACTGGAAAGCTATTATTCATTTCTTCTCACGGTCATCATTCCTTTCACGTGATAATATATAAGATCATTCATGTACTGGACTGTATTTTAACACAAGGTCAGTCTCGTATTTTCGTAGAATCAGTGCATGAATTGTTTTTATTTATACACAGACATGATATTTGGTCATCGTAAGACCTTTGAACCAATAATGGAAGATAAATAAATTTTATTCAGGGATTTGAAAAGCGGTAAGTTTCTTCTTTTTTTTGTATGAAAAATGAGCAGCAGCTCATCCATTGTCTTCCACTTAGTGGCGTCTACTGACTTCAATATATTTAATGTATCTCTCCCATAATTCTAGATCAGGCTTCTTGAATCTCTTGAACAATTTCTCCCAATCACCTCCCTGTAAACGATATATACCAAAATGATCGTTGGCCGTATATTCCAAGTACCAACGAACCTCGCCGAGATTATTTGCTTCGGTAAGATTGGTAAAATATTGGTGGTAGTTAAGCAGAACCCCAAAGTCTTGATCATCGGTGGAGTAATAATATTCTCGAACAGCTGGGTTGTTAACTGAAAATCATTAGGGATGATTAGAATATTAACATATGTTTCATTTCTCAGTAAATTAATTCTATGGAATTTACCTGGAATAATTGATGGAGCATTATTGAGCACCAAAACAACCTTATTGTCTGAACTGGGGTACTCTCTCTCGTCGGTAAGAAGGGTCAAATGATAATCCTCTCTAAGATCTTTTCGGGACGATACAAACGTCAACGTATCTTGGTTGGTGTGTCCTAACAGCATATTTGAGGTTTTAGTATGGAACACTCGAGAATTTGAATGTACACAGTGAGAAACAAGATCAGAGAACATCTGAAACCTGTGAAATGCCCGTAGATGACATCTGAATAGTCACCGATTAACTGAACGTATTGTTTAAAGCAAGTTGGGTAGTAAGCCGGCTCACCTAATGATATGTGTTGGTGATTCAGTAATTTTAAATAGTGCAAGTATAACAATAATTAATCTTCCAATGCACCTGAAGAATCTAACGGAGCCATATGTTGAGACACATAAACTTTTCTATTCTCCTCTCTTGCACTCTTTAACTCAGTTTCGAACCATATCAATTGTTTCGCGCCTGGAGACCTTTTACACTTGCAATCTTTAATCTTAAGGTTTGACTTGTACAAGTACATCGAGTTCAGACTGAGGACACTCAATTGAGAATCGATATCCTGTCGAAAATATCCACCGACGTAGAAATCGTTTGTCAAGTTTAGACGGAGAGGTGCCCAGATCTCGGTAAGGTTAGAAAGTAGGGAATTCGGCCCAACAGTAAGTTGGTTGTGTTCTGTATATGGTGAGCTCAATGTATCTGTACGGCAAGCAAGAATATAAAAAATAAATTTCAAAAAGTTTGATTCTTACCAAATTCATCATTGTTTCCTATGGCTGGAATCTAAATTTTGGTTTTTTTCGCTATGGTTAAAAAAGGTTTGAAATGCTCTGGATATCGATCAATCGTGATACTAACAATCTTAACTCTTTGTACATCAAAATATTCAGTAAACCATTGCACCAAGATCCGATGACTGGATAAGACATCTGTTTTTGTCAGTGGAAGATTTGGATCACGTTCATGCCTGCACGTGTCCCCGGTATATATTACAAAATCAACATCCGAAAAATTCTTTTTGAGAAAATCAAATGTCGAATTGGTCAACGTGTATGGGGTATCGCATTCAGAGTGGAGGGCACCAAATTTACCCGCAGTATTGTGTAAAGATTTTCGTGAAGCACTATGACATTTATTCTCGGGATCACTTCGAAAAGTGTAGTAAGGATCTATATGGATATCTTGAGGGCAGATGAATGAACATATGAGGTATGCATGATTGTAATTACAAATCGGACTGTTGAAAGATCAAATGGTCATATACCAGTTATGTGCAAAAACCGTCCCGAATGATGTTCCGTGTAAATTGGAAACTGATTACGCATTGGATTATAAAAATCAATAGAAACCGCCTCGATTCTCCAAACCATCGCCGCTACTCCAAAAAACGCGTAACAAAACACATTTAATATTCGACCCTTCATTTCTTCCGAATATTAAAGCCCCGCAGACAAGACAGATGCAAGTAAAAAAGAAAAATGAATGGATCTTTACATTAAAACGAAATTTGGGCGTTTTTAGTGTAGCATATACACTCGTGATGATCGACCAGGTCAACCCAACTTCTAACTACCAGAATAAAGAATCAATAACAATTTGGTGATAACGATCCCATTTTAAAACACCATTTGCAATAGGATCGTCATTGCGGTGTAACGGTCGGTTGTTTCTTAAACCTCCTTGATTGCATATGAAAGAATTTACTTAAGGTCCTATAAGCTTGAGAATAAGCTAAAACGTGCACTCAAAAACTGAAAGTAGTGCGTTTACATACAAGGGTAGATCCAGGATTCTTCCATTAATGGAAACGTCCAATGAAGTAAATAATACGCATTTATTGAATGTATTCTAAATTAGATTACGCAGCGATGCGCAAATTGTAAAAGAAACCATAAACGCTTTCTAAGTACATTATCTCTCGCTTGTTTAAGTACAGTACTACTACTACTACTATATATGACAAATGATATCGCTCAGCAGAAATGATTTTAATCCCGTGACAAAATCACTGGTTGAAAGGATTTTTTTTTTTTTAAAAAAAAAAAAAGATGTATTTTTCCAATGTAATCATCTATGTTGCTAAAAGCATATGAAAGAGATGACTGACATTTAGAGGTTTGTATATCACAATTTCTAAACGGTGTAAAAAATATTGAATAAATAAAAAGGCATATTTTTCTTCGCAATTGATCTCTGCGAAAATTTTTATTTATATCTTATGAAAAAATATTTACGTACCGCATTTATCCATAGTGATCGAGAGATAAGCCCATCTCAAGTAGTATACAAATTGGGTTTGATTTGTTTTTATAAAAAATCAATGCCGCAATCTAACTGATTGCAATAAATAGAAAAAATTTAAAATACTAATCATTTATACTTGCAGGATACAATAAGTTAAACCCAATTCATCTGTAATCAATTATTTATCATTATTTTAGAAAATTTTAAAACAATATATATGGTGACACAAAAATAATTGGAAGATAAAAATTATATTAATTACAAATAATAAGAATACCAGTTATTAAAATCACTTCAATATTTAAATTAATTAAATATAAATATTTGACTTTTATATAATTTGTTTTATAATTTTTAAAAAAATAATTTAAGTATTAAATATGTAATTTAATTTTTTATTTGAATGTAACAAATAAGCTTTTAACAATAAATATATTTTTTAAAAAATAATCAAGTATTTAATTAAAAAAAATTTTTTTAATAAATAAATTAATTATTTTAATAAAATTTTTTTTAACATTTTTAATACAATAATATATTTTTATATTATTAAAAAAATATTTATAACTTAATATCAAATCAATAAATTATTTAATAAAAAATTATAAAAAAAATATCTTAAGTTTTATTAATTTATATATTAAAATAATTTTGATAATTAATTGTTATTTTTTTTTAATAATTGATATAAAAAATAAATAAATAAAAATAATTATTTTTTAAATATATATATATATATAGTATGGAACAAAAAAAAACAAACATATTAATTTTTTTTTTGTAATATTTTAATAATTAATAAATTAATATATTAAAAAATATAAAAAATAAAATTTATTTAATAAAGTTTTTAAAATGATTGATTTTAGTTATATTATAGAATAAAAATAACAAAAATTATTAAAATTATTTCAATATATAAATTTGTTAAATAAAAGTCATAATAATAAAATTATAATGAGACCTATAGATCTATAATACAGTAGTAATACTTCATAGGTCACCAGGTGAAGGTTTAGGGTTTGACCCCACCTGGTTACAAAAAATTTATCACCTTCATGATTGGTTGACTGGCTTTTAATTCATGTTGTACCCAATCAGCCAATAAAAATAAAAATCTATCTTCAAATTTAGTTAGGCTATATGAAGATAGGACTAAGGATCCTAACAATTCTCTTCGATTCTGTATTTGATTCTCAAGTTTATATTAAATTTAATAGGTGGGATATACCTTACCATCATTTTTAATAGTGTTCCGAATCTCATGCGATTCTGTTCGATTCTATTCAATTCCAATTTTTGGAACCATAGATAGGACCTCTGGTTTTTCCGACGATCGCGAGCTGAAAACAGGTCAAAGCAAGGAAGGTTGCACGAGGAAAGGCTTCTGGCCTAACTTCAGTAATAAGTCTACAAACTTCAATCCAAACTGGTGACGGCAAACTCCATCACACAATATAAAGAGGTTAATTCTAAGTTGATCTATTTCAATCTGGAGCTTGTAGATCTATTCCAATAGTGGTGTTTCACAGAACTTAATCATATGGCTGAAGGGTAAAATATTAGCCACAGGTAGTGAGAAGACTAGACAAAAATCGTTAAGCCAAGTGAGTCTAGTGAAGATTTACAAGATTAAATCAGAATCTAAGCAAGGACGCCAGTTCTACAAGTGGTAAAAATGGTAGTGCGGCGTTATGCTAGTAGCATATCCTGAGGATCGGTGATAATAGTGACTGGAATACTGAGGTTAGTCTCTATAATAATATTTCATATGACCTTCTCCCGATGGGCAGCCGAAAAATACGATTGGACCAATAAGATAATAGGTTTAAACTAGTGGTAGGACTTCCTCTATTCTGTGTAAGTCCCACCTAGTGCGAGCCCATCTACTTGATGCAAGCTGGTCAATCAGGGTAATCGGATTGAACTTTGGGAAACCAGTACTATTGGAAATGGTAAATACTAAGTAGTGTGATAGAATAGATAACTTAGTTTTATTTTTACTTATTTTTATCGAATTATTATTAGTTTATTTTTAACAGTAGGATTTATAATTTTATTATAATATAAATATCTATTTATAGTACGAGTGACATAGATCAGACAGTCTAGAAGGTCCAAACAGCCCGGAAGGCCCAGAAGACCTACAAGGCCTATAATTTATGAAATTATGACATTGTGATATATAGATTAGACAGTCCAGACAGTCTAGACAGTCCAAGCAGTCCAGATAGCTTAGGATAGAAAACAGTATATAAGTAGCTACCATCCATGTAATTTTTAGTCAGTTTTCTGATAACTCACTCCTGTAACCGTTGGAATTTCTGACTTGGTGTCATAATAAAGTATTATTATTTTATTAAACA